TCTCTGTGACTCTATGACTATGGTCAGAATGTGGGGAAGAAAATAAATCAGGAGATAGAAAAGGCATGTAAGAAAGGCACTATTATAATCATCACGTGGACTTCAATATGCAGGTGGACTAGGAAAATTAGACTAGTAGTGGATCTCAAGGCAAGAAACTAATGGAGTGTCTCCAGGATCTATTTTTGGAGCAGCTTGTGGTAGAACCCCCAGGGAACTGACAATTCTGGATTTGGTGATGTGTAATGAGGCAGACTTGATTAGGGAGGTTAAGGTGAAGGAGTCCCTAGGGGCAGTGACCATAATATGATAGAATTCACCCTGCAGTTTGGGTGAGAGAAACTGGAATCGGATGTAATGATATTACAGTTGAGTAAACATAACTACAAAGATGTGATAGAGGAACTGGCCAGCGTGGGTTGGAAGGGGAGCCTAGCAGGGAAGATGATGGGACAGCAATGGCAGGAATTCCTGGGAGTAATTCAGAAGACACAACAGAAATTCATCCAAAGGAAAAAGAAACTTACTAATGAGAGAATGAGGCAACCATGGCTGACAAGAGAAGTGAGGAACAAAGTAAAAGGAAAAGCATAGAGTATTGTGAAGATTAGTGGGAAGTCAGAGGATTGGGAATCCTTTAAAAACCAACAGAGGACAACAAAAAAAGCAATAAGAGGGAGGAAATGAAAAACGAGTATGCTATCTGGTAATATAAAAGAAGATTGCAAGAGTGTTTAGATAGCTAAAAGGCAAGAGAGAGGGAAAAGTGGACATTTGACTACTGGAAAATGAAGCTGGAGAAGTAGTAATGAGGAACTAAAAATGATGGAGGAACTGAATAGGTATTTTGCATCAGTTTTCACAGTGGAAGAAACCAAAACCATTCCAGAACTTCAGGAGAGTCAGGGGGCAGAGGTGAGTGTAGTGGCTATCTCTAAGAAGAAGGTGCTGAGGAATTTGAAAGGTCTGAAGCTGGATAAATCAGATGGACTACACCCCAGGATTCTGAAGGAGATAGCTCAGGAGACTGTAGAGGCATTGATGGTGATCTTTCAGGAATGACTGGAGTCAGGAATGGTCCCAGATGATTGGAATATAGCTAACACCCCTGTTTTAAAAAGGAGGGAAGCAAAAGACGGGAAACTATAGGCCAGCGAGCTTGATCTCAGTTGTTGGTAAGATTTTAGAGTCCATTATTAAGGGTAAGATTGCAGATTACTTGAAAGTGCATGGTAAAATAAGTCTGACTGAGCATGGCTTCATCGAGGGAAGGTCATGCCTGACAAATCTGTTAGAATTCTTTGAGGAGATAACAAGCAAGTTAGACAAAGGAGAACCAGCAGATGTGATCTATTTGGATTTCCAGGAGGCCTTTGCCAAGGTGCTACAGAGGAGACTGCTAAATAAGGTAAGAGCCCACGGTGTTAGAGGCAAGATATGGTATGGATAGAGCATTGGCTGACTGGCTGAAGGCAAAGGGTGAGGATAAAGAGGTCTTTTCCAGGATGGCAGCTGGTGACTAGTGGAGTTCTGCAGGGGACAGTGTTGGGACCACAACTATCCACATTAACAACCCGAATGAGGGAACTGAGGGTATTGTTGCTATGTTTGCAGATGACACAAAGATAGGTGGAGGGTCAGGTAGTATGGACGAAGCGGATGGCTGCAGAAGGACTTGGACAGGCTAGGAGAGTGGGCAAAGAAGTGGCAGTAGGAATACAATGTGTGAAAGTGTAAAGTTATACATTTTGGGTAGGAAGAAAAGAAGTGTAGACTATTTTATGAATGGGATATGGCTTCAAAAATCTGAAGTGCAAAGGGACTAGCAAATCTTATTTGAGGATTCTCTTCAGTCTAACATGCAGGTTTAGTTGGCAGTTAGGAATTCAAATGCAAGGCTGGCATTTATTTCAACAGGGCTAGAAAACAAAAGCAGAGATGTAGTGCTGAGGCTGTGTAAGGCTCTGGTCAGACCGCATGTGGAATATGGTGAGCAGTTTTCAGCCCCACATCTAAGGAAGGATGTGTTGGTGGTGGAGGGGGTCCAGAGGAGGTTTACGAGAACAATCTCAGGGATGAACAGCTTGTCACATGAGGAGCGGTCAAGAATGCTGGGTCTGTACTCGATGGAGTTTAGAAGAATGAGGGGGGATCTGATTGAAACTTATGGAATACTGACAGGCCTGGTTAGTATGGATTTGGAGCACATGTTTCTTCTGGTAGGAGAGACTAGGACACAAGGGCACAGTCTAGGAGTGAAGGGATGACCCTTTAAAACTGAGATGAGGAGGAATTTCTTCAGCCAGAGGATGGTGAATCTGTGGAACTCCTTGCCACAGAAGGCTGTGGAGGCGAAGTCATTGGTGTATTTAATCCAGAGATAGATACGTTCTTGATTAGTTAGGCAATCAAGGATTCTGGGGGGAAGGCAGGAGAATGGGGTTGAGAAACATGTCAACCATGATTGAATGGCAATGCAGACTCAATGGGCTGAATGGCCTAATTCTGCTCATATATCTTACAGTCTTATGGTTTATTTTCTGTTAATAATTCACCATCTCACTTTTTACAGGATCAATTCTCACTTCATTAACTCTTTTTTTAATTACCTCTCAAAACTCATAACATCTGTTTTCATACATCTAACTTTCGCTCCCTTGTATTCTAATTTTTCCATTCTTAATAACTTGCTTTTATAAATATTCCATCCAATTTTATGACCTGTCATCCATCTTAGCATAATAATATGCTTTTTCTTTAAGTTTTACATTGTTTAACCTTCTTAGTTAATGATAGATAGTAAGAAATATTGCAAAATGTTTCACAAAATCATAGATCAGACAAAAGTTGACAACATTTACCTGAAGAATTTTTTATTTTTCTTCTTCTCGCAACCTGCAAAAGGTGAAATTAAAGATGCATGAGTCACTGTTTGAGTTTCACAGTGCCAGAGATTTTGTGATGCCTCATACATTGAGGTAAATACAGTGGGGCGACAAGGGAAACTTTGTAAGGAACATAGAGACCTGAATACTCATCACCCACAGATGCTCTGATAGTGTGTAGCACTGACTGATCTCAGGGGAGCTGTACTGGAGCACCAGTAATTCCTTCATTGCTTTTATTTTATCCCTTTTCTGTGTCACTGATAAGGTTGGAAGTTACAGTTGCCTCACTAGTTAGGATCTGGACATACGTAAGGGTAGAATTTCACTGAGGGCACAGTATTCTGCCCGATACCAGAGATTACAGTGAGAAACATGTTCCTGGCAGTCAGGGCTACCCCACAGTGATTAGCTTGTCGACCCCTGACTCAGGAGGAAGTCCTATCTCAGATTGCAGTGTAGTCTCAGGAATGTCACCAGGAGCGGTGGCCACTGCTGGGACTATAAACTGTACCCAGAGTCAAAGGGCAGAATTTTAACAAAGGGATTTGCAGGGTCTGTAAAAGAGCCAAATAACCTTCCCACCATTCTCCTGCCCACCCCCAATTTGTACAGATTACTGGTGGTGGGAGAGGCCTGGGACAGCCTGAATGAGGGATGAAAACTTCTTTTCAAGACAGTTGGTGCACCTGGAGGGCAAGGAGCATCAGCGGGGATGTATTCCTTACCATCTGTTAAGTTGTGCCCAAAATGCTGGAGAATAGGACACAGGCAAGTTCAGGGTCTTACAGTGGCGATGGGAGATCAGTGGGGTGGGGTCATAATTGGATGTACAGGCAGGTTGGATGCAACAAGGCAGCCGAGAACCTATTGTGTGTGTTTTGGGATGTGGGGGGATCTATAATCCATAGTAATCCATAGTATCACCTCAGCTTCAAATCTGATTTATACTATTGGCCAATATCCATCCATCATCTTCCCTGGGACAAGCAAAGGCTCAGCTTTTGTCTTCAATCCCTGAAGTTCCATTCCTGTTGTTGATGAGCTTCCCAATGGGGATCATTTTGTATCCCAGCTATTTCAGGGAAGAATATGGTGCCTTTCTGTGATTTCAGGTTAACCACCTTTGAAAATGGTCAGTGAGTATACAGATCCATGAGCCATGCTTTGGTGACAGGTTGGGGTAGGGAAGCTGAAATAAATGTTAAAACTAATTTTGTGAAACAAGTTCGGACATACAAATTAAAATAAAATCTATTTTTCCTGACTATATTAATAAAACTGTCACCAGAATCAATAATATTTTATTCCTGTTGGATATTGGCATTTTCACACATTTCCAAATTTGTGTTCAGAGCACAGACATGGATTCCTCTCTGAAGTTTCACAGACAACTTGA